CAGGCCCCCCCCCCCCCAATAGCTAGCAATCCAAAAACAGTCCAGTGAAACCTGAGTGGTAATGTCAGGGGGTGTGGCATATGCAAATAAGTTATGCTAATGAGCTCCTGCACCTTTTTTTTCTACGAAATGACCCCTGCTCAGAGGGTGTCTGTTGTGAGGAGAGGAAGGGAAGGCGATTGTAAGCCATCCTGAGACACGAAGCCTGCTGGGTGACCTTGGGCCAGTCACGGCTCTCTCAGTCCAACCTAACTCATAAGGTGCCTGTTGTGGAGAGAGGAAGGGAAGGCCGCTCTGAGACTCCTGAGGGTAGGGGGAAAGTGGGGGTATAAAAACCAACTCTTCTCGGTTGCCTGGAGAGGAGTTGTAATCCAGCCACCACCTGGAGGTTGGCAACCGTATGCAATCGCAACCTTGATCAAAGGCATGTGTGAAAAATGTTACACATCCCGGGAAAGGGCGGGCAGAGGTAAAGTAGCTTGACTGAGACTCCACTTAGATGCTTAATCCCATTAATCTTTGCGGGAAGGATCTCTCCCGATAGGGCAGCCCGCATGTGCCACATGGGAGTGTGCTCTCCAAAACCCAAGAAAGGGGGTCTCGGCATGTCTGGCCGGTGAGGGGCACTCGTGAGGGGCCCTGGGAGTCCAAGCAGGGTTCTGTGACGGGAACAAAGTGCTCTTCCTCTATCAGAGGGCTGGGCAATGTGCTCATTCCCCCGGGCCCTTAGGATCTTCCGAAACAAGGACGATCTGGTTGAGGCCAACAAACCAAAATTCAGACAAGGTTTCTGGGGTAAGGCTGAGGTGATGCTGGGTAACAGGAAGCTCCCTTGGGGTGAGTGGAATTGTCTGCTTTGCGGGTCACACTCCTCTCATAAGTGCTATTAAGATCTGGAAACAGAGGTCTCTTCAGGGCCTCTGTTCAGCTTTTACTGATGCACCTAGGGCAGCTTTCCCTTGAGAGGCATGATCTGGCCACCCAGGTTGGATTATGGAAGAGCTTTGTGTGGCCAATGATAAATCCTCGCCAGAAGCATTATCTGATTGATAATGCAGTGGCAGAGCAGATAGTACCTATAAGGAACTTATCTCTCCCATTTGGAAAGCTGTTAAGTAGCTGCCATTTTGCTTCCTGGTGCCTGTCATGGGCCAGCCAGCAGCCGCCTCCACCTCAGAGGAGGAGGAGGAGGAATCGGAAGAATCCGGCCCTGCACTCATGGACTCCCCACCCCACCTGAGCAGCTGGGTCCAGCTGCAGACCCAACAGAGGAAGCATCAGGAAGCAAGAGTGCTTCCCAGTCATGGCCAGGTGGCTCAGTCTTCCAGGAGAAGAAAAAGACACCACAGAGAGCCAGTTTGGTGTAGTGGTTAAGAGCGTGGACTCTAATCTGGGAGAACCGGGTTTGATTCCCCACTCCTCCACATGCAGCTGCTGGTGTGACCTTGAGTCAGTCACAAGTTCGCTCGGAGCTGTTCTCTCAAGAGCAGTCCTCAAAAGAGCTCTCTCGGCCCCACCAAGCTCACAGGGTGTCTGCTGTGGGGAGGGGAAGGGAAAGGATATTGTAAGCCGCTCTGAGACGCCTTCAAATAGAGAAGGGCGGGGTATAAATCCAATATCTTCTTCTCCTGTGGCCTCTCCCTAACCAGTAGATCATAGAAGAAAGAGAGAGCATTTTTTGCCTTAACCCGCCCCCCCTGGTAGCCCATTCCAAAGAACTGGAGCTGTGCCCCAAAAAGCCTTCAACCTGTGTAGCGACAGATACAGCCTCTTTTCCATTACCCCTCAATGACATTTTCTCTTAATAGGTGCAACAAAAAATACATCTCCCTGTCAAAATTGCCTACTGCAGTAACTGATTCGGTTGCATTATCAGAGACACACTCCTACTGGTGGGATTTTCTGATAGCCAGGTTCTCTCTGTTTCCATTCTGCTTGGGGTCAGAAACACGCAGTTGCTGGGACCTAAAGAAACAGTGCCTCTGAGAATGCACACAGTGTCTTTGGGCTGTGACCGCATCTCTCTGGATACTGTCTATAAAAGGGGTGTGTGGAATGAATGTTTATGTGCTTATTTAATTAAAACAAGTGGAGGGCCTGCAAGATTCATGCAGGGGGGGGGTCCCATCACTGAGCCTAGTGTGGCTCCAGGCCCCACCACCCACCAGTAGTGGCTGGGAGCTGCTCCGAGCCCAGAGTGGCTCTTGTCATCCTCCGTTGCCTCTGCCAGGTCAGAAGCTGCACCCAGTGTCCACCACTGCCATGGCTGGGCCCACAGCAGTTCCCAGTAGTGGCTGATGCCAGCTCTAATAAGTAGGTTATCTGCACATGTGCAGACATTTTTTTAAAAATTTGGGGGGAATTTAAACCCCCATTGTATTTTTTTAAGATTTCAGATTTTTCTGCAAACCTGGGGAGTCTCTGAAGTTTGCAGAAAAATCTGTTTAGCATCGGTGTGCCTCCAATCCTCAAATTTAGGTATCTGCAGATGGAGGTCACACATCACTGTTAGCTATATAGGTCTATATACCCCACCTTTCTCTTGTGGCTGAGAATTACTTGCAATTCTCAATCTTCCACGATACAATAAAAACACCATTAATAAAAAATTTTGCTAGCAAACAAAACCTCCAAAGTTACTGAGCAGGTGGCCCAGTTCCTGGCAAATGTACTTAAGGGCCAAGAAAAACGGGAAGAGGAAAAGGAAAGGAGGTGGAAAGTGAGTGAGAGAGATATGGTGTATCTATGATTCATCTTCAGATAGTTAAACTTCTTACTGCAACTGTTTTAATTACTGTGATACTCGAGATTACTCTTCCGAACTTTTATCACTTTGCCCTATTATACAGTGTTACAAATCGCTAAACTCTGATTGTTTCTCTTTGTTGGCATATGGGCTGATTTGTACTGTTATCTTTTCTTTTTTAAAGTATTTGTTATGCCATTAAAGGTTATTGGAACTGGAAAAATCCCTGGGAGGCGGGGCAACAGTGCAGCGATGTGGTTGAGTTTACTCAGGGCTCTGAGACTCACCAACATCTGGAGCTTTTTTAAGGGTCCATTTGGTTCTCCTTGGTCCCATCGGTTCGTCGGGAGTACGAACTGATTGCAGAGGACTTTTATATCTGAGCCCCCCGTTTGTGGCAACAAAGGGTGTGGAGTCAGAATTGTCCTAACGCAGGAAGCACCGAAGACCAGCCGTGATAGCACGACTGACAAGCTGTATTACCCCTTTACAAAGAGCCTTCAAACCTCGTCATACCATCTAGGCAAAGAACCTATTAGTACTTTCTCTTTCTTGACAACTTTCAAGCTTGGAAAACAACTTCTATTTGCCCCTATAAATCTTCCCAAGAAGCTAAAGGAGGTGCTGAGGAATTTTCCCTCACGCATTCCTATGATAAGTGGCGAAGCAGAGCCCCGGGGGCGTCAACGTCAATATAAATACAAAGGGCAGAGTAATATATTGAATCTCCTATCTGCTATTTGGAAAACACCTTAAATACTGAAGAACAGTGACTTACTTGATTTATGGGGTCTGGACGTAAAAGGGCGATGAAGCCGGTACTCTTAATGGCATAATTCCACAGAGACTATTGTTTACAAGAGTCTCGACTTAAGTGTGAAATGGCTTTCTTAAGCACAAATCGGAGAGGACTGGCAATTGTCAAAAACCTTCTGGGATGAGATTATTCTAGGAATGCAAACTAAAATACTTGAAGCTATCTCTCCA